AAAATAAATAATAATAAATAAAGGGTAAAGTAAGAGTCAACACATTTCTATAAAAATTACACGAAAAATATATTACAATTAATAAGAGATAAAATTATATAAAGCAAAAATAAAATAAAAAATAAAAAGTTACAAGTTTCGGCTACCGGATTGAGCCTTCTTCATACATTAACAAAAAAACCGCAGTATAAAAATGATTAACGGAAATGTTCGCAGTTCGCAATAATCACAGTTCGGGTGAGTCTTGATGTAGAACTTGGCATTATTCGCATACGATTGAACAGTCAATTGTGTTGCATACACATATATTTTGAAAAAGTTCTAGTTGATAAAAAAAATAAAAAATTTCTTATAAAAAAAATAATAGACGCAACTAAATTAACAACCGGAAATTCTAAAAAGTAATTAAAACTCACCAAGAAACAAGTGTAAATTATTTAAAAAAGCGTGTCCATACAAAAAAAACAGAATATACAAAATTAGTGGAACGCAGATGTGTAAGACCGACATTGTGTATCGCTTATTATGTACGCTAGCTAATAAAATAACTTATGATTCAGATAGTAAATCGTCACCAAATTTGTCGTACCATTTTGAAACGTGATTTAGAATAATCTGCAATTTTTTCATTATTTTGTTATCATTTTGAAAATACAAAACATCCTTAATTGCGAGAAACTTTGTATATGTATGACTTGTTTGCTTTAATTCCAAAAAACTTTTGTATATGAATAATAATAGTGTAAAAACTGCACGTGTGATTTTTTAATAGTGATTATATATATATGCTTATACATGTAATGTGATTAATTAATTAAAATAGATGTAATATTATAATTGATTTTAAGAAATTTTAAGTTTATTCAAGTTATTAAATTATAAGTTTTGTAATTTGTAAAAACAGATCACAAAAGTTTTAATACATTTTAAGTACTTTAGAAATGACATTTAAATATATGTTTAATTGATAACAATATTTTCATTTATTATGTCGACATAATAAATTTAAATATTATTTAAGTATCAATCAAATATATTTAAATATCATTTTTACTATATAGAAATAGGTGAAATCTAATATTTCAAAAAGATTGCAGATTTTTTCTATAACATTTCATCAACCTTCCAACAAAGTGTTATGTGCAAGAATTGCGGATATTTTGCTATTTTAGAGCTGTCTTAGAAATATTACAGACATATTCCGCGATTTTTATAAAATATTTCACTTTTTAGTTGTAATATTTTTGAGATATTTCTGAAAACCTTCCCGAGTTGTACGTTTATTGTAGATTTATAAAAAGTTCAATGAGAACACAAAGTAAAACAGAATAAATATAAGATAAAAGGTTTGTTGACATGAAATATATTTGCTAATATGTCATCGTCTTTACCATAATTGAAAATATCTTTGAGAAATATTTTCACAAATATTTTGAAAATATATTTTTTTACGTAATTATTATTTGGGATACTATAACTTTTTAACAATATTAATATAATTTCATAATAATATTAATGTAGTAATATTAATGTCTTACTTCAGCAAATCTAATGATGTACAAACTTGTTTAATAAATTATTTATTTGAAGTGTTCGCAGATTACGACAATGGATTTAATTTTTTTGACATTATGTACTCTTTGCATCGTTGTGATTTTCGCATTTCTGCCAAAAGTGCATCATTATTATGTTATTCGACAGAAACTCAAAAACTTACCCGCACCTGTCATTGGTTCGATATTTAAGCTAATGAGGTTATCAGATTATGGTAAAGAACTTTATATAAGATTTTTTCATTATTTTGATATACAGT